TGTATATAGAGATACCGTTTTTATACCGTGATTTATATAATGGAGTTGCTTAATTATAGACACATTCAATTAAGTGTCTTTGTAAAAATTCGTTTCCATTTCTTCATAAAATGTTTGTGCTTTAGTGAAATCTTATTTAAAAAAAAAAAGCAACCCACCAACACTGAATATATTTAGTTGTCAAATAACCAAGTAATGTTCATGGAGTTGGATGGTATAATAACAAGTGTATGCCTACATGAAAATACAAAAAAAAACATAACTGTCACCTTTGTTTACAATTATGGTTATCCAAAACGCGACCGTTGTATTTTTTTTGGAAATATTGTTTAAATATAAAATACGAGTATTTTTTTGCTCCAAAATTTTCCACTGTTACGCCACTGGTTTTTCCAAACCGCAAATTTAGCGCCAATTGTGAAAGTGCAATGGAACCATTTTTGTTATGATGGAATCATTTACTAATGTCTCGAGAAAAAAACACACCGAACCGGGAATATTAATTCGGTTTTTATTTTTTGCTGTAATAATTAAGCTCCGACTGCATAATCTTGAACGTCACGCGCATCTGCGGATTTTCTCACATATGATTAAAGTATCTTGAACCGTGTCAACGTTTCAGCTGATTATGCAAATGTCACCATCACGCACCGCCTAAAAAAAGCTTTTACTAATGTACCTGTTTTGTAGTTCCTGTCTAGCTTTTTGCGACTGCGGCGGACTTAATTGAGTTCCCATCATTGCAGCGCATCACATAATTTATCGACAGCATCACATGATGGCCGTTAAGATAATTAAAAATTATGGCTCATAAAAATGTCGGTCGAATTCTAAAAATAATGTAATTATTCGCCGATTTTTCAAGGACTCAAAACAATGTAGTACAGTCGACGACATGCGGGCATAATAAAGTGGGTTGATGACGTTCGTTAATTGTGAACGGAAGGGAGGTGTGCGTTTCGAGTAAGTAAATAATAGCCACTACTCCCCATGGGTGTTATTAATACATTTTCTGAAGCATCTGATTTATTTTTGTAATTACCATAATTTATATTTATGGTCAGCTTAAAAGACGCTGTAATTATCCGTGACAGGGTAATTTCGTGCAATTATTCCCTAATTACAATCAAAATGAATCACGGATGGCACTAATAAATTGTAAGGTTCAGACGACGTTAAAGGCAGTAATCGATCGAGGTTAGTGATTTTAATTTTAATATCATAACTGAGTTTTGCCACTGGAAAATCGCTCGGCGCTTAATAAGTGGGTCTGAACCATGCGATAATTTCAATTTCTTAAGAAGCGCATCGTTTAATTCACTTATCGATCAGTACTTCCTCCATAAAATATTCTGAAGAAAACAATAAAGACACGGGCCGGATGTGACCGAATATTCTAATTCCAAAACCCCGTTGTTTGTCCAAGCAAAAGATGCAAAAACACTGCCATGGTAATAAAAGGACTCCTCTAATGGATATCTAATGCTTCACTCCTTGAATCGCAAGTGCCATTAAGTTTTTCTGAAGTAAAAGCGTATTATACCACAGTTCCCATGGCAATTTTGTTAAAAAGTAAATCAAAAGATATATAGGAATTTCAGTTGATTCATTTCATTGTCTTCTGGTGACCCCCGGATTTGATCGAATCACTTTTTGCTTTGCCACGTACGGATTTACCTTGAGCGATTCACAGGAACTAACAATGTAAACATCATCGATTGTAGCGGAAAAATCAATAATTGCGGGCTTCCTGTTCAAGAAGTGATGGCGACCTTCTTTTGGTGTTTTGTTGTTCGCTGTAATTGTTGTGAAAATAAAAACAACGGGTGAATACTTACGTAATACATAGATACGATAGTATTAAGTTCGAATATACTTCGATTTTTTAACATTAGGTATATCATTTGGTGAACGAAAGTCATTTATTTTTTAAAGTTTTAAGATGACTAAAAATTATACAATTTTGTTTCTTTAAATCTTTCATTACCGATAAATTAAATATTTATTATACTTGAAGCGTGTAATATTTTCAAAATTTTTAGTACTAACGTTATTATGTTTAGTTATACGTTGTTACACATTTACAACGAAATAGTAAAGAGTCTTTCCCGAAAATATTCGTTCTTAAGCAAAATGTAAACAGTAATAACTTCATTCTCCTACCGGAAACATGTTCTGGAACTCTCATCGATCACGCAGAAATAATTATTGATTATTATTTTTCGGGCGAAATTTATTAAATGTTTGGTAATTTATAAGTTATGTGTTTAAGTCCACCCTTTATTTATCTCACTGCGCTTGGTAAAATAAATGAGCCGTTATCGAATCGATCCCTGACATGTTGAAAAGTTGCACTGCTAGTCAACTGCTATGCGTATCGTTATATGCATATAATTGGAGTTATGTGCACATTAAAGTGTGAAAACATTTCGATTTACAAATTTACTTTGTACATGCGTGCAAAATATTTGTTATGCATGTTTAAAATTAACCAAAAATAAACCAAAATTCATGGTGTACATTGCAGTTTTTGAGATCTGGAATCCTTTGATCTTGCCATCTTATGTCATAAAAATTAATGTTTAGTTCTGCAATAATATTTTCAAACTAACAGTAACAAAATATAATTACCTTAGGATATACAGCATTGATAAAACCAAAGTATGATGAATGCACAAAGAAGTCTCCACAGGAATCTAAAAAACAATATCTACCGTGTCATTCGTTTATCGGCGAACTTCCCTCGCCTCTGGAGTAGAGTCGAACAAAAAGTGTCCGAAAAATTATACATAACATTTAATTTAGCGAATTTTATACGAGTAGCTTATAAGGGTTAGCATGGAAAAAATTAATTCGCAATTTTTTTTTTTTAATTTAATTAAACGTTAAACACATACATATGTAATATGTTTCTGTATTTAAGATTTATTAATTCACTCATGTTTCAAAAGTTATACGTGCAGTTTTTGCAAGAAAATTCAAAATTTTGTAAAAAATTTCGCAGCAAATAGTAAAGCGTTGATCAGAGTTCATCTGTTTAAATTTTCTTAAGGTAAATCTTGCTTGAAACATGCGAACTAACATTTTTAGAGTTGGTTACACAAGATGTCAAAAAAATATGAATGAAGCAATTCATTTTAATAACTAAATCAAAAACGTCTTATCTCATTGTCCTGACATTCTGGGAGCACATTTGTTATTATCTTAGTATTACAATGGATTTCACAAAACTGATATATTTATCCCCACTAAAATGTTGATGACGTTGTCATAAAATTTTCTAAAGAAAATTTCGGTTGAAATATACTCCTTTATTTGTAATTGGGTAATCACGTTTATCGTTATTTATATTTCAATCAGAGTTTACCATTAAAAATTGAAATTTGCAAGATCAAAAAATGTTAGATATGATTTATGATTTTTATAAATTTGCAGTGGTTTAATTGATTGTATTTCAGGAGCGAAAGAAGCTCAGTCTAGATATTTTTTGACTATTTTTTTCTTTTGTTTTTCATCTAATAGACGAAAATTTTTATATCTACTATATAATATTATGGCAATGCTTTTATTAGAAACGTTCGAAGTTACGTAGTACCTACATACATTGATTTAAATCGACTAATACTTTTACATAATGACACCATTGTGTGACAAATTGTGGAGACAGAAATTGTTGAAAATAAAAAAGCAACATTTTTAGTAGATATTTTAATTAAAAAAATGTTCTTCCTAAGTCTTAAAAAATAGACCACAAAACTATAATTTTCACAGACATTAAAGTTTGTGTATTAATTCACTAAAAGATTAAATATCAAATCAAGGCAAAGATACACTTCCTAGGTATTTTTATAGAAATATGTGATTATAAGTATTTAAGTAATGCCCTACTTTTACCTAATTTGAGATTTTTTTGTGAGTGGTTTTGTTAAACTATGTAGGTATAAGTGACCATCGATATTATAACAAAGCTAGCCAAAAATAAAAATATTCGAAAATATGTAAACTGCAGGTTTATGCAAATATTTGCCAATTGTAGAAAAAGTGGAAGTATAAAGCGTCGCCTGCTTCTGATTATTTAAGTTCATGGATTTTAAAGTATTTACTGTGTATCAATAATCAATCGTATGCAAATTTCATGAACGTCAAAGCTTAAATTATAACCTTTTGTATTTTTTTTTTTAAATTGCAATAAACAATTTTGGTTAAATAAAGTAAAGGTGATTGAAAATGAATAAAAATTACTAAATGTTAAAAAAAAGGTCTATTTCAGCAAGGTCAAATACTGGATTTCACATTTATGATGCAGCATTCAATTATAATTTAGTATTGATTGTTAATAAAATTTTATACATATTTACGTCAAGCGGTTTAACAATTTAAACAGAACCACTGTCTTCAGAGCTGAGACATATGAAGTCAAAGTTTAATATTTTTGAGATATCAATATTTTATTCGTTGTGTAAGATATTATTCTAATGTTTACAAAGTTATAGGTTCCGAAATTTTCTAGACAGATTTGCTGCCTTTAATCGCCCACCCTAAATCATAGTCCACTCAGAAACTAAATTTACACTAAAATAAACGAGTCGAACGGTTTAATTACACGAATTCGGCGTCGCTACAAATCGTTTGATAATCGTAAAGATACGGGCTAATAATCCGGCTGATAGCGTCAAAGTCATAGACAATAACTTAACCAACAAATAAAAACATAATTGGTGCCCCAGTCAATAATGCATTTTAACAATACAAGGCACAAGCTAATAGAGCGGAGCAAGACAACGAATCCTGTAATCTCGGTGTCGGTGAAGGACGGAAGATCGACGCCGTCCATCCACGCACCAAGCACGAGCTGAAAACAAGGACCACGGACGATGGTAGTCCGCGAGTGCGACGAGGAGCGGTCGAGAGAGACAGAACGAGGGCAGCTGCACGCGCTTGGCTTGCCACAGGTGGCCTAAGTGTGGGAACGAGCTAGCTTCTGAGTTTCCCACGATCAGAGTTGGGCTTGCGACCAACACACACCTGGGGCAGCTATAAAAGCGCGCCCTACCATTTTCCTCTTCATTCAGATCCACGTTGCTGTTCAGTACACATCGTGTGTTCAGTGCTCCGAGTGTTATGTCGTACGAGATGTTGTCCGTAGAAGAGCCGCAGCCCATTTCGCGTACTTACCAGTACCGCAAGGTGATGAAGCCCATGCTCGAGCGAAAACGCCGGGCCAGAATAAACCGATGCCTCGACGAGTTGAAGGAGTTGATGGTCACGGCCCTTCAAAGCGAGGGCGAAAACGTGTCCAAGCTGGAGAAGGCCGACATCCTGGAACTGACAGTACGCCATCTCCACAAGCTGAGGCGGCAGCAAAGGCTGTCTGCCAACCCCGTCATCGACGCCGACAGGTTCCGTGCGGGGTACACCCACTGCGCCAACGAAGTCTCCAGATGTCTGGCGTCAATTCCCCACGTGGACGTCCAGTTGGGTACCAAATTGATGACCCATTTGGGACATCGACTCAACGAGATGGATAAAGTGTCGCCTTTAGTGATCCAAGTTTCGAATCCGTATACGCCACCAGGGTCACCCGTTCCCGAAGGTATGACCAACGTGTACTCGATGCCTTTGACTCCTGCGTCCTCGACGTCTTCGAGGCACGCGCCGTCGCCTAACCAGCCCATTGACTGCTCCACCGCAGGGTTGCTCAAGGTGGCCCAGAAATCTGAAGATGTGTGGAGGCCGTGGTGAAGAACTCGAGTGGTTTTTTGTAAATATCTCTGATGTCTCACAACGTCTTTCAATTATTATTTGCTCAATCGCTTTAAGGTTAGGTTTTAGTTGATAGAGATGATCTCTTTCATGATGAAAGCTTTAAATTGTTATTTTTAAGGAATTGTTAGATTTTGTGATATTTATTCAAGTTGGTACCTGTGATCTTGTAAGGCTTTTTCGATGTCAAATAATCAAAATATTTTGATGCCTTGTTTGTAATATTGAATGACTTTGTATTGCAAGCACTACTGTGATACATGTTTGTATTTTTGATACGAAAATACTTTGAAAATAAATACGACTGTTACATAAACCTATTTCCGTATTATTATTTCTGGTTTTCTGGGTTGAGAAACAAGTTCACAAATCGATGACAAATCAAAAGTCCCAAATTGCACGACGTGCTATGATTTGCGAGAAAGATCAATGAGCGGGAAAAAAATGATCAGGCGGAGGTAAGCGTTTTGGCGCCTTTTAACGGATTCGCAGAGAAAACAGGTGGGTATGAGTCATCATGCTACAAGTTCAAGCGTGTGTAGGCAACTTCCCAAGTTCCTATATGAATATTTTATCCTCTTAATTCTAATTGATTTTCAATCCAATGTGATTCTAATTGGATAAATGTCCCAATGAGATGTAACAATTCTTAGTAAGAAAATACATTCAACATTCAATGTATATTATGACATGAGTGGCGCTCTCTGGACGAAATCGACTGTTTGAATATGAGAACTGATGGTGCCCTCTATTGGCAAAATGTCTAGTATAATTTGGTGGTTCATAGGAATAAAGATTTGTCACATTGTTCCAGATGAAGTAGATCACCATGAATATTTTATACATTTTTTTATAATATGCAAATATGCATAGAATCTTGGTTTACAGCATTCTGAGTTGTAGATGGAGCTGTACAGATTAATAAATAAAGAATACTACTACATGTCTACACTTTCATTACAGTTTTCTTTTAAAGATTTACAGGTTTTTTTTTTAAATAGTACTTTGATAAAACAATCATCTAAGTTTCACGTTGCCACAGATTCTTCTTTTTGTTTATTTTATAACTGTTTTTGCTAGTTTTATATTTTACCTATTCCGCAACAATTGTGAGCCGTCTACTAGATGGCGCAATCTTCAATTAACGAATCCAGTAATTATGGGTGAAAAAAAATAGAAATTTGTAATAAATATCACGGTTGTTAATTGTTAAAGGAAAAATATGGACAAGTATTTTTTATAAAACTGTGTACTGTGTATTCGGGAATGGGGTGTTGACATTCCGCCGCGAATTTGTTGTAATTAAAGATCTTGTATAATCCCTTTTATCTAATTATTTGCGCTGAAATATTTAAAAGTGCTAGTAATATGTTAAGATACAATGCAAGATGTTTTGTAAGAAAATATATTATAATCCTTTCAAGTTAAAGTTCCCCGTTATTATAGTTCCATGATTATATGTATATTGTTTTTAAAATAAAAAGTTGATTTTCTTAAGGTTAATTTAATTTATGCTGTATAACGCCTCCAACAAGAAGATTCAATCAAAATATGTGTGATCAATAAATAATTAATAATTCAACATTTCTTTTTCACTTAGTTTAGCATCGATCATATATATACATATAAAGATTATTTATTGGTAAAATTCGATAAAAATGGTGTTTTTCAACTTTTAGAATATACAAGTTTAATTTATTACGGCCTGCCGTTGTAAATATTTACATTGTTTTTTATTTCAAGCACAAAAAGCACAGGACAGTGTTGTATGGGCGAGTTTCCAAGCAGCAGCGTCGAAAGACTCAAATACATTTTTTATAATACAATTACATACATTAAAAAAAATTGCTCGAAGGTTATTTCGACAGAACTTCCCTTGTCCATGACATACAATATGACCAATCGAGCTTTTTCGAAAAAGATTTGATTTCGCGAATTTTATTTTTTCATGATAATCTGTTTGTGCTTTTCATTCGCAAAGATTCCGCTTTGTTGGGTGGCGAGAATAAACAGCAACACTTGATTTTTGGTTGATTTATTTACACGAAACTTATTACAACGGACACAAGACAACAGATTAAATTTTGTACAAATTTGGGTCTTTTGTTTTATAACCAAAAAGGGAGCCGAGCTACCTGTTCTTACAATGGGTTAAAGTGTACATTTTTCTTAGAAAGGTAGCGCACCTGCAACGATTGTACACTTTATAGGCGGCTACCTAACCTTCCATCATCTTTATAAGTAAAAATAAAGATATGCATGTAATGTTAAAGTAAAGATAAAGGAGTGTGCTACGTGTTTGTTTCAAGTGGTAACAGTACTGTATTTCCAAATTTTAGAGAAAATGGAATGAGTCGTCTTGACTTAATCAATACAATAATAATTTTTTTTAGTTATCCCTTATATTCTAAAAACTATGAATGCATTGATAAACCACGGGAAGAGGATTTATTTGGCAAACTTTTGACGTAATGTCATTTATTTTTGGGAGGGGATGAACGAATAAATTTCCATGAATGATTTACCACGATTACAACAATCTTAAAACGTTAGCAAAATTTCTAGGCACTGGGTTTTGCAGTTGCAGAGTTAAATTGCAAAATGTTGCTTTTCCAAAAATCTGGATGTCTTATTTTATAAAATTAAAAAAATATATCGTCATCGCACTGGTGGTGGGAATGATTAGCCACATTATAGTTGGTGTTTTACCATCTACATGATATCCTAATATACATTCAAAATTTGACAACAATCTCTCCAGTAGTTTTGGAGATTATCTGTCTAAAAAAAACGACATAAACGACAGACAGACACACAGACAGACAGACGGAAACGAGAGACCACTTTTTTGTACTCTAGGACCTGGTTTATAGAAACCGAAGTTAAAGTTAATTCGCGATTAACTTTTAATTGAGGTTTGTTGCTAGGCGACGTGTAAGTTTTAACCAATCACGAGCTCCCATTCCACATTTTAATCCAGTGTTAAATTAATCGAGGATTAAATATTTAACTCGCGCTTCTATAAACCGGCCCTAGGGGTCATAAAATTTCGATAAAACATGAAAGTGACAAGCTCTGTGGATTCGATTACTGCACTTTCTTAGCTTACACTCAGGAAGGAAAAATGGATTTCAAGTTTCAAGTTTTGTAACATTACACATCCTTAAGGGTAACCTAAAGCATATTCCAACATATAAACTTCTGCCCGAGTTTTTGCCAAAAGTATACGTCCGATGGTAATAAACTTCACATCGTTGAAGTAAACGTACAAAACCCTACCCCAGACTGCTTTTAATTAATGTTTTAATTACATAGTAGCCAAAAAGATCAGTGGAAAAAGAATAAATTATTTCCATTGTCGAGGTTACCAGACCAGGTAATCCAGGTATGAATTAGCAGCCATTAGTTACAACACAAAAGGTAAACTTCTATCTCGAACGCTAGAAATCAAAAATGGTCCCTCAATTTTTACCACACTTTCAGAAAACAGACAAGAACGGAAATTTCAATTAGGCCGCGAGAAAAAAATAAACGCATTAAATTATAGAAAAAAAAAATACAAAACTGATGACGGTTCTTTGAAGTATGGACCCAACCCAATAAAACCCGATATGGAGCTGGATTTATTAAACAAGAGTATGAATGAATCTCTCACCGATCTAGATATTACCGAAAGTGAGAATATTTTCATTATCCTAATTCATTTTTGCAAACAGACCTCTTAACAATTCTGGTCGGTTTTATTATTGTGCAGTGAGTGTTGGTCTATGCAGATGGGTGTTAAGTCGACCGGTCCTTTAAATACAGTGGCCCGTCAAAGCACTGGTCATTAGTGAATTTTATTGCCTCACCGGGAAAAAATTGCTTAAGCTCACCACAATAACTATTCTACAGAAGGGAAGTTTTCTACGTCATCACTTTTTACACATATTTCATCTTTTGTTTTTTTTGCCGGGTATTCTTGGTTTTTAAAAAATTTCTTTTCTTTTTAATTTCATTTATAAATTGTTAAGCTCTTCTAGCAATTCTTCAAACTCTAATTCTATAAAAAAAAATGTGAAAATAAACTGTTCTTTGTTAAATGAACAAAAACAGAAGTTCAGTCCTTCGAGGATAATGTTACGAGAAATGCCAGCCCCAGCCAATTTCGCCTACCTACTCACCACTGCCGCAAGACAAGCAGCTCATGATCGACCGAAAACTCTGCGTTGACGAGTTCATGAATCTGACTGATGATCATGAGTCATGACTAGAACTTCTCTAAAGTGGAGACTCATGGAGAGGGCCTACATCCTGGAGTTGACAGTGATACAAGCTCGAGGGTACACTCTACGAACGCCCAGGGTGGTAGCAACCTGATGACTTATCTGGGCCATCGGTTTAACGAAATGGATCACTTATCTGTCACCTTCATTAGTTATCCAAGTTTCGACTAATGTGTACTCCATGCCTTCGCGTCCTACGTGTTTGACGTCGACATCTTGGAAGCATTCGCCGTAGGCTAACCGAAGCCGTACGGCTTTGAGCTAATCAACCCATGGAATACTCTACCGCAGGATTGCTCTGAGTGATCCCGAAATTCGTGTGTATGGAGGTTGTGGTGAAGGATTCGAGTCTACCAATTATTATTTACTTAGGTTTACATTTAGGTTAGGTTTTAGTTTATAGAGAAAAATCTCTTTCACTAAAAGCCTAAATTATTATTTTTAAGGAATTTAAAAATTTTGTTGATATTTATTCAAGCTGGTCTCCGTGAACTTGTGTGGCTTTTTCAATGTCAAATAATCAAAATACTTTGATACCTTCATTGTAATATTGAATGACTTTGTATTGCAAGCACTACTGTGATAATACATGTTTGTACGTTTGATGCCGAAATGAAAATATTTTGAAAATAAATGCGATTTTTATATAAACCTATTTTCCTGTTAGTTCTGTTTTTTGAGTTGAGAAACAAGTTCACAAATCAGTGATAAAAAAGGTAGTGACTCAACGACGTGCTATACTTTGTGAGAAAGATCGATGAGTTGGAAAAAATTGATGAGGCAGACATAAGTGGTTTTGGCGCCTTTTAACGGATTCACGTTGGAAACACGTGGGTATGAGTAATCAAATCATTTTACAAACTCAAGTGTGTGAAGACTGACGACTAACTTCTCAAATTGCTATATGAATATTTGATCCGCTTATTAATTAGTTCAACTGATTTTCAGTCCATTGTGATTGGATAAAGGGCTTAATCAGGTGTAACAATTAATAAATTACTAAGACATGAGTGGCGCTCTCTGTACGAGACTGATTGTTTGAGTACCGAGTACCAAAACTCTGCTGCCCTCTATTGGTAAAATGTGTAGTATAAGTTGTTCGTTTGCACCACATCAGTGACTATATACTATATACTATATATTCATAGAAATAGCCATCACATTGTACTAAAAGTCGCAACTGTAATAAATCTATTCATTGTTACAGGTAGATAACCATGAATGTTTTATATATTTTAATTCAGATATGCATAGAATCTTCAATGATGCAATTGATAAATAAAGAAACCAACTAAATATTTATGGTTCCATTACAGTTTTCTCTCATTTACTTACATTTTTTTTTATACTGATTTCTATAATAATCAATTAATCATTGATTTTTCTAAGTTTCGCGCTGCCACATACGTATTGTTTTTAGTTTATTTTCTTTCTGTTTTTTTGTTAGTCTTTTTAGACCGATTCCAGAACAATGTCAACTGTCTACTAGATGGCGCAACCGTCATTGACAGAGATCTATAAGAGTTCTAAAAGGAAAACTGAACTCGGTACTTGGGGCTTTGTCGTTAGGCCGTCGTCTATAAAAGAATCGTCCAATAGTTTTTTGTGATTATTTCCGTAACCACGAGTAAAATAAAAACTTTGTAAAGACAGATATCGATACAATATACATATAGGGGTAATTGAAAGCTACGTACAACAAAATTGACAGTTTTTCGCGAAGTCTGAGACGTCTGAAAAACTTATTTTGTGTTATCAAAATTATAAGGGGAAAATTAATCCTTATCCAACCTTTTTAGACGCTACTGAAGGATAAATAGGTAAAATTAAGTTATTTTAGTAAATCCTAGCAACTGTAACAATAAAACTTTTGTCAAGACTAAATGTTGCTATAGAAACGAAAGATGATCTTTTTATCAGAGGCGTATCAGAGAATCTGGACATAAATTTTAATAATTTTTATCTATAAAAGGAGAACACTTTTACCTGAACTTTTTTTTACTTTTGGTAACTATATTTCGAGACCAATTGCCGATTTTATTTTGTACGTACCTTTCAATAACACGCTGTATAATAGAATTATCTACTATTTTAATTAATAACATTGAGAAGTCATAATAATGATAAGAATGTTATAAAATGTAAAAGGTAATGAAAAACATGAAAAGAAAAAGAAATAACTCCTTTAATTTCAATTCTACAAAAAAAGCTTCTTATCTTTTTGTAAGTATTATATGTCAACGTTGCCAACGGAGATAAATTTAATTAATTATGCGCTTCATTTACCTAGCCACTGTACTTGGAAAATACACTACCAATGAAAACTAATAAAATTTTGCATAAAACAAACCTAAAATTTATAAAATATAAAATCTTAAAAGAAATTTCGAAAATGTGTTAATCTTAAAAACTGCCGACTATCTAAATTTTATGTGTTTTATAAAATATTCAGAAAGAACCAGTTAAATTGCTAAAATCACTCGATTTTAAATTGTAGTTTTTGTGAAGTCATAAAGGACATATTTTAATGTGTTGTCTCATAATTGGAAGCATAAGGATATTCGTTTATAAATTATAAACATTTTCTCTAGTGATAATTGTTTATTTCGATGGGAAATAATCTGACTAACTACGTCCAAGCAGTGCATTAGGGATAGCACCATGTAAATAAACAAAATGCCTTCGCAATTAAGATTAAATTGGTATCTTGGAAATTATATCCATAAATTATGTAATTTATGGATATAAGCGAATGCTTTGGAAACGAAAGATGTGAAAGATAGGGCGTAGTGCCACAATTTCTTTCATTGGTAAATAACATTTATATATACAATTAGTGTCAATGACAGTGGCATTTATATATAAAAATTATTAGACTACGTCCTACGTTTTTCACATCTTTTGCCTCCAGTGGCAAATTTAAAAAATAAAGTGGTATAAAATAATGAAAACTAAGTCAAAAATATATGTTTAGTAGTTAATTATCAGTACTGTAGTTTTAATCCTTGACAAGTAAATAACTGGCTGTGTTTACTAGTTATACGTGCAAATGGTTTGGAAAAGTGGTTGTGAAGAGGATTGCGTTAATTAACTATTATGCTGATTTGTCAAAGATGTTTGAGCAGGTAAACATAAACAGGTTGAAATTAAATCGCTTGGACATTCGTAATCATCTTTTAGCATTTTTTGAGTTGTACATGTTTGGTAAAAAATAATTTGTAGAAATCAACAGAAATCAAAGTCTTTCTACGTTCCATTAAGTGTGCTTCAAAGCTTCCATCTCGGTTCAATCTTGTTTATTTTATATATTAATAATAAATGTGTAGCGGCACAATAACACATGGGTAAGCAGAGCAAAGATAAGTTGTCTTGTGGTGTAGCGGTCAGCATACCAGCCCGGAATGCTTGGAGACGTGGGTTCGAATCCCACCGAGGCACAACAAATGTTATAAAGAATTGATTATTAATTAACTTCTTTCGCCTCTATTAACAAAATGCTCTGCAAGACAAATATAAGCTTTTTGGTTTAATCATAAAATCATCCACTGAGTCACAGTATACTGCGACGACTGCGACTGAATTTAATAATACTTGGATTCGGACGTTGGTAATATCATTCTTTAAATATAGGGTGATTATTTTATCTATTCACGCCTGGATAAATGTGAATAGGCAACACACTTTACTTTCTTTAAACGACTTCGTCTTACATTTTTTATAAATAATAAAAAACGTGTATTTATGATAATTATGACAAATTAAATCTAGCAGTCAAATTGTTTTCAACTTTTGTGAGCAATGTTTTCGAATTCCGAAAAAATGTATATATAATATTTATTTAATTCTTCTAACTTTGGGAAAGCGCCATGGAAATTTCGATGCTGCCGTTCGTAGAAGTTGATCAATTTAAGAAAACTAAGATTCGGTTTATAGGAGCTCAATTAAATATTTGATTGAGATTAAATTTTTCACGCGGCGTTAAAGTACCATGTGGCCGACTCTACGCCAATCAGACGTCCCTAAATGCCTCGTTAAATGCATGATTAACTTAATCTCAGTTTAAACATTGTATAAACTGGCCCTTAAGTTAGACACCGTACAGTAACAACGCCACCAAATGAAGTTGTCCTGACTGAAATTAGAGAATCCTTATGTGAATAAATGGCAGATCGCAAGATAAGAGCAGATTAGTCAGAGTTCGGTTTTTAACATCTTGAGGGCAAACTGATTTCATCCATGTCATTTCAGCCGTTCCAACTTAAAATTTTTGCGAAAGGATCATGGTGTTGGACAGATTTTCATATAGCACCCAAGATTCTAATTAGATTACATATATAGAAAATTTGAACGCAGTATATCGTTGTGCGAAGAAAGATAAGGCGAGCAGTTTGATGACTTATTGCAGGATACTTCTTTATTTATTTTATTTATATTCATGTAAGGATTGATTAAAAACGTTCTATTTTGTTTGAATTTTGCCATTATTAGTTGTTTGACATCTTTGTTCTCATTTATGACATACTTTGATTTTTGTATTGTTGCGTTTACTAACTACCGTGTGTTCATTAAATATTTAGATCAAAGAATACTGTGCGATTTTGAAAAATGTCTTTTCGGTTTCGGATACTCCTTAAATTATGCAATTAAATAAACACACGCGTAATGTTGGTTGCGTACTGACATTGTTGAAAACTAGAAAATCTAGTGAAAGAAAACAACTTCTGCAGATTTGTGAATAAGTTTACTTAAAGGCGAAAACAAAGTTGAAGAAACTGTTGGAAGTGGTATCCATTCTCCTGTATACATAAATTGACACGTCTTTTCAAGCTATCAAACTCATTTTGTAGTGTAGCAAGTGTAATGCGAGCACACTCTTCTGTAATTCTGGCTTTCAGTTCTTCTATGGTGTGAATGGGCGTTCTAAAAATAGTGTTTTTTAGACGACCGAACAAGAAGTAATCCAGAGGGGTTAAATCTGATAATCTTGGGGGTACCCAGGAACTAAATGTAAATTTATTACTCTATCATCAAAGAATTCACGTAAAAAATTCAAATTGTCTACTGTTGTCTGTGCCGTGGCATCGTCGTGTTGAAAAAATCGGTCTTGGAGTTTGTCATCTTGTAACTCTCGAACAAAAGCAGTTAAAATATTGTTTCGATATTTTTGTGTTATTACAGTTTTCTCAAAGTTATTTTGGAAGGATGGAGTGGTGTTTCACGATACACATCTCCAACATCTCATACATCCTTCAATGGCAACTCCATTTCGGAAGTAGGATTCAATCATGAATGTTTTATGTTCCACGAAGAAAACCATTTTGCACTTTTAGTTAAAAAAAAATCCAAAGTTTGGAGTTTCAAACATCAATGCGACTGAATCAGAATATATCAATTTAACGTCTACAGCTTCCACAGATTTAAACGGTGTGATTGTTAATTTAAAAAGATTAATACATTGATCAGTTGCATATAATGTGTATAATATGTTGCCTACCGAAAGTATTCGGGCGTAGAAAGATAAAATAATCAGGCTGTACATTCATGATTATTAATATATTTATATAATGGTGCTACGTTGGTTTTTCTCAAACAGTTTTTTTTTATATACAGAGGGCGAAAAATGGCCATTTGTTTGTAACACACATACAAACCCTCTACTTTGTTCGTATCGTGTTCGGACACATTCGTGAATGCACGGATTAGCGTTTCTTCGAGTCGTGATCGAGTCACTAGCGTTGAACCAGATCTTATTGCTGTCTTTTTATTTTTATATCACCAAGTTAGATTTGTCATTGTTCAAGAGTTTAGTGGATGCTTAGTTTAAAATGAACAGATACGCGAACGTGTGGAAAGTGTACTAGCCAAACAAATTTTGTTTGGCATGCTGAATGTACTCATCTACTCATGTACTGATACCCAATGTGTACAATATCGTTGGTTTCCCTCGTGCTAATTTATTTTGTTTATTGGTGTTTTTTCGGAATTTAATAGTTTTGTTTGTATTATCTACACCACGATCTACACTTTTGGTAAGTCAACATTAGTTTAATAGATATTTGCCGCTGTAGATGGAGGTATTATCAGTTTAATATTTCGTTATTTTCTTGATATACCTAACCCCAAATGGCTGGTTGTTCACGAAGGGTTCCCAGATTTTGAAAAATTAAATAACGGCCAGTAAATAACCAAGGGGTACATACGGCAAGCGGTACAGTTATTGGCCCTTTAAGGATCGGTAAATTATTAACTATATTTTTCTTAACGAATATATTTCTCAATAAGCTAAGATGGGGTGAATGCAACAGGTTTTCAGGGTTGCCGCAGAAGAAATAAAATGTGTACTAAAGTTTAGGGATATTTTGTACTAAATTTAGTAAAATTGTACTAGATCTCAAAAAAACCCGGGAAACGTAAATATTTATTCTGTAAAAAAAAAACTTTAGAGACTATTACTGTACTTAGGTAATATAGAAATAATATTATTTTTACATTATTTATCTAGGCACACTAGATACAATTAGATTATAAAAACATTACATATAAATGACAATACAAATTAAAATTACAGAACCAGGTAGTGATGTAACTAAAGAGTCAGTAACTAAAACACTTGAAAAAAATGTAAACAATAAGACAATGAACAAAAAAGTTTAGTATTCTAAAAAAACAAAAAAAAGAGGATACAAAAACATTTCACATTTAAAATATTAAGCAAATAACTTTACAAATATTTATCGGAATTATGTATATACTTGTTTTAACACCTCGACATTTGAACGAATGCGATCATGTAACTCTTCACATGTGCCATTCATATTATATTTCACAATAAGAATTGATTTTAAGGAATCAACTGTTAATTGGGTCTTCTCTGTGGTCCATATTTTATTCATTAGTGAAAATATTCGTTCTGTGGGGGCATTTGTTCCGGGCAAACAAAAGGCAAATTCAATTATTTGCAATATATTTTCGAATGGAATATTTTCCGATTTGTGATGCTTAAATATTTCTGTCCATCTAAGATCTGACGATGTCCTGGCTCATTCCATTCACAAATTTTTTGCTGGCTTGCGTACTGTTGAACATAGCTGACTTCATCAAATAATTTATTTTCGTCAATATTAATTCCTTCCACCATTTTTGTTACAACAGCAAAACTTTCCTAAACCTGGGACCATACAATTTCTTTTTTTAAAAGAGACCATTCCAGATGTTTTATGGGTTCAAAATGAGCGGCCCATTGATTTAAATATTCAAAACAATTAGCGTAAAATAAATTAATATGTGATTCAAACCAAGTTCGGTTGATTTCACCGTTTTCTTCGAATTGCCGCAAATTGTCTCTCAAAATTAAAGGAAGAAATTTATGCTTTTGCCTTTCTGTCAATTTTCGTTTTAAAGAGTCAATTTCATTCGCCACTTCCATAACAGTGACGTTATCGCCCTCAATACACTTAATTGAAAACGAAAATAAGGAGGCCTGGTTGTGTATAAATTTTAACCACAGTTCTGATGATGGAGTCTCAAAAAAGATTTTTAGAACTTGAGGACATTTCTCCAATGATAAAAAAAAAGATTTTAAAGGTTCAAATAGCTTTAAAACTTTTTCTATCGCTGGCAAAAGAGCTAACCATCTTGTTTTACTATAACCCAACAGTTTTTGATATTCAGTTTCTGCTTCTTCATAAAACTCTTTTAATGACTCAACCCTCAAAGTAAATATACCAAAATGCTTATACAAATTCACAATAATATTTTCAATATCTACAGGCAATAGGTCACAGGCTGTTTGAATTGCATTATGAATAATGTGAGCTGCGCATCCAACTCCAATTATTTTCGGTTTGAATTTTTTTTCTAGTTTCGCAAAAATGTTATTAGTGCCTTTCCTTTTTAAACCACCAAAATTAGTGTTTGCATTATAGGCACAAAATCCTACAAGTTTACTTGCTAAATTATCCTTCTCAAGAGTTTCTAATAACAATGTAAAAATTAGCTCTGAGGTCTCTCCTGGCAAAGACACGAAGTCTAATAACTTAGCAATGCATACCATCATTTATATCAAAAAATCTTACTAAAGTAGGAAAACATTTTATGGCTTGATGGTTAGATGTATCTGATTAAACTGAAATAGAGTGTATCTGTGACAATTTATTGTTTAACTCATTTCTGCACAATGGAGCCAAAACTTTTTTTATTATTGCTTCACACTTTGTTCTTTTACATGTAAACTTTTTTTCATATATTTTTTGTACAAGTTTTGTCGTACAATCCATGGATCGAAAACTTCGATTGTGTTTCACTGTGTGAAATGAAAAAATTGCTTCTGCTGCAGCCAATTCTTGTTCTTTTAAACCAAATTCAGTTTTTCTAAAAAAATTGTCGATGGTTGATGAAGAAGCAGCAGCTTCCAACATATTTTTATGTTTTGTCGTCTCGAAATGGCGAGTGATGTCATGTCTGCCCCCAGAGGCTGTTGAAAATTCACTTAAACATTTCGTACAATATACGTTGGTATCCAATGCACATGTCTTTAAGAACTGATACTCTTTTTTCAAATCTTCCGTGAATTTACATTTTCGTTTTGGAGCAAGTTTTGGAGGCATATCGATGGTTATTAAAGTCAATCTAAGTACAAATATATATTGTGACGGTTTTTGAAAATCAAAGAACTTTTACTCACCTCTGAAGAACCAAAAAATATGAATTGGAAAAGCAAGACACGATTAATTATAATTCAAAAAATGTTCGGTTTCGCAGTTCTAATAGTGACACAACCACACAAGAGAACGAAGATTCAAGAAAAGTATAGAGAGTAGATGCGCATCTGTTGAAGACAATGGGTAGGGATATATTATCGAAACGGCTTGATTGTTTTTCGCGGAATTCTTGGCGATAAACAGTAGCAAGAATTGCCGGAAATTTATAATCTGAACCTAAAAACTTAATGAGACAGTTTCATTGCTTTTTGAGGAATTCTGGAAAAGCAGCAAAAAATACCGGAAATTTAAAATTTAGAAACAGAAATATAAAAAAAAATTTCAAAAATCCATTTTTGTTTAAATGAGGGATATTTTCCGGGACGGTAATAATCCGGGATTGCATGTCTAAAAACGGGACAGTCCCCCGCAATCTGGGACGAATGGTCACTTTACACTAGGTATTCTGTATAAAAAAACATTTAATAAAGAAATTCATTCTACAATTATTGGTTACATTTTTTTAAACATGCTGAGATTGTCGCACATTTTCGGCAGCTATGAAGCCTCTTTGCGTTCGAGCTTCTTGCCATGGTACTGACCCATCAGGTGATGTAAAATATTCTTTAAATTTTTCACGAACTACTTCCGCTTGAAAACTTCTGTTATTTGAACTGAGAGGACCACATCGCTGGAAAGCACTGCTATTCATATTGACATCGTTTCTCCAAAATCCCAATGTGTTTTCTTCATCTAAATAATTTGGAGGGCAATACTGTTGACAATTTTTGCTTCTAAGAAAATTATGTAAGATGACAGGTGCCTGTATACTGTAGTCAATATATTTTTGTAATGTTTTTATTGGGGTGTGGAAAATTTTCCATCGAGCTGCTAAAATTCCAAAACGATTTTCTATAGTCCTTCGCGCTCTTGACAATCTGTAATTGTAAACATTTTCTTCTGGTGGTAGAGCCTGTGTACGACCTGCATAAGGTCTCAATAAATTTGGTTTCAATGGAAAAGCTTCATCCCCCACAAAACAAAATGGTATTCTCTCACCACCTGGGTAAAGTGGTGTTGGGGTTGGTAAGCTTAATGTATTATTATGTAACATCTTTCCAAACTCAGAAGCGGCAAATACTCCACCATCACTTTGAGAGCCAAAAGCTCCTACATCAATCATGATAAATTCATAATTTGCGCTGCATACTGCCATAAGTACAATACTGAAATTTTTTTTGTAATTAAAATAAAGGCTGCCTACAAACAATTATTCATAAAGTAGATAAATTAGTTTTTAGTTTTATAAAATACATACCAGAGTTGGATGGAGCTTTACATACAACATGTTTGCCATCAATAGCTCCTACACAATGCGGAAAGTTCCATTTATTATTGAAATCATTGCTAATACTGTTCCACTCTTCACTACTTGAAGGGAATTTTAAATATGTTTTTAAGTTTCCTCCAAATTACGTTACATGTCTCATGAATAATATTGCTGACTGTAGATCGGCCACATCTGTATGCAAATGCAAGACTTTGGTACGATTCTCCTGTTGCTAAGTGCCTGAAAAATGTTTATCAACTTTGTAATTTACATCCACAAAATAAACGTCTCCTACCTTAATGAAATCATTAACCGTTGGGCAGGTTCTATTGATGGCCGAATGCTTTTCTTTCGAAGATCTTCAAACAGTATTGCACACAATTCATCAAAATATTGTGGTGTCATTCGAGTATAAACGAAAAAGCTTTCTTGGTCATTTAATTTTATTTCTTCTATTAAATTATGAAATGCACCCTGTTGTTGTTTTTGATGATGTGCATAAAGCGGGCGGACCCACCAACGTCTCGGCCTTTTTAATTTCCTTCTTTTATTAGTTGTATTTCTACATTGTACTGCACACTGCACAGAATAATAATAAAGTCTAATTAATTCGATCAGGTTCTCTTCATCAATTTTTTTTATGAACAGCTACACCAACAAAATTAGCAACCACTTTCACGAACTATTTAAACACACGTGTTGTACTATGCTATACACTATGCTATGGCTGTTGTGAACACCATCTGTGTCATGTTCATGCTATGTAAATGTATTTTTTACATAGCATAGACATAACGTTTTAATATAAGCATAGCATAGCACAGCCTATGTGGCGAGGCCTTTAATCTTCAGTCTCTTCCAGTGAACATGCCCAGAATTTACTTTTGTTAGGCGCAATTTTCAAACCAGTGTCATTGACATTTTGTTTGAACGCTAAAATATTTGTACATGTTCTTACACTCAAAATAATAATTTTTTCTGACAACAAAGATATTGACCA